CAGATCAAGGCAATTTTTCCGGGTGTGTGACTGACGAACTTTCACATATGCACACGTGCGCAATGATGGTGGTGTGCATGGCCCTTAGGTACGAGCGGATCATTTGGAATTGTGAAGCCAGAGGTGCCCGCCTGACCGAACAACAACAAGCACCTGAGGATCGATCCTGTCGGACAGGCGTCAGAGTGAAGGCTCATGACCGAGACCTTTTCTCTTGAATGCATCATTTCAGGCGGTGAGTGAATGAGCCTCGAGCTGACAGAGGAGTCATGGCATGACTAATGTTTCAACGAATGAATGAAACACATCGCTCGGATAATACTTATACGATTGGCAAAAATGCACACGCACCCCGTGCCAAATGTCGCCAACCCACAACACGGGGGACAAGATCAAGTCCTCCCCCCCGATCCCCATCTCCCACTGTGATCACCACTGAAAGTACACAAAACATACACGACGACAAACGTTTGCAGGAGCGGTCGCTCGCCGCCGCTGACAGACAGACAGGCATCACCGCCAACAGAGTCACCAGTCAGCCAATCGATCGACCGCAACAAGATGCTTCGCGTGGTGGTGGCTCTGGCGCAGCTGCTGCTGCTGGTGTGTCGCTGCAGCGGTGTGACGTCGCTTGCGGGCGTCAAGAGACACGCTGACAGCCAATACCCGTAAGCACACGAAGGGAGCGAGGGAGGTTCTTTCACTCATTCACACGTGTCTCGTGGTGTTTGTCTCAAGTGTGTGTGACGTCGCCATCAACGGCTCCGTCTGTCATTCTTCGGGTGCTGGTGTGCTGTTGTCCGAGGCGCGCCAATACGGACGCGTTGCCAAATACTCGTTCGACAGCAGCGGACCACTCGACAGGCACACAACACACACACACAGACAGACATCGACGCACTCCCACACACATGTCTCTTTCTGTTCTCTGTGCTCACACATGCAGTTCTGGTTTTGCAAATCACGGTGTGAATGGCGACATGATTCTGGCGGCGCCGTCTCTGTTCGCCGGTCGCAGCGGTGCCGTCTTCTCGGTCGACGACAGCCCGTACCTGCGGGTGCCCCACTCGCCGCTGCTGCTGCACTCGAGTGACTTCACCATCATGGGATGGTTCGCCATCCAACAGCCACGCTGGCTTTCCCGCCGGCACATGTACCCTCCGCTTTGTCCTTTGGTCCTCAAAGGCCGCCTGCCCACCACACACACTGGTGGCAACGGCAAGCGCGTCGAAATGAGCCCCGCCCTGATGTACAACACCACATCGCTGCGCCTCAAAGTCCTGCTGTCCACCACCTCGTCCGGCGCCACAGCAGTCGAGACACTCGACAGCAACGCCAGACTCTCACTCGTACGCACACACACACACACACACGCACACACAGACACAGACATCTGCGTCTCCGTCCCTCTGTCTGTGTCCAGCACGTGTGGACACATCTGGCGGTGGTGCGGCACTCCCAGCGGCTGAGGGTGTATGTCGACGGCCTCCTCGACAGCACGCTGCTGACGGTCGGCCTCACTCGCCCAAACGCCGAGCCGCTCTACATCGGCGGCGCGCCCCGGACGCAGACGGCCTGTCGAGCCCCTATTTTGGTCGACGAGCTGAAGGTCTTCAACCGCTCCCTGTCGATGGCCGAGGTCATGGCCGAGGGCAACGCGGGAGTGGCGGGGAGCGAACAGGGCTTCGTTCGGCTGTCGTGCGCCCACTGCACCATGGCCGAGGGAGTGAGGGGCTGCCGAAACACAGCGGGATACCACTTCTGCACCACAAGGGGGCTGCAGTCGGGCGGTATGTAATAATCATGACGACACACAAAGGCAGACAATCCATTCATCGTCGTCACATGTGTGTGTGTCTGGCAGCTTTGGCTGTCGCTCGTCAGCTCGGCTGGTATGTGACGGGCAAGACGGCCGTCCTCTCGCAACCCAACAAAGAGACGATACAGACACCAAGTGAGACACACACGAGGTGATTGCCGCGTGAGCATGTCAGCGTGTGTGTGTGTGTGTGTGTGTGTGTAAGGCTCGTCTGAGGGTCTGGGGCTGTGCTGCCGAGACCAAATGGCCACCCAATGAATGATGACAATGATACAAGACGCGACAGCAGCAGCAACAGCACAGACTGAGTTGTCCTTGATGGAAGCACAGAGTCTGTTCGTGTGTGGTTGCATCTCACTACCAATACGCATGGACACTCTCAGTCTGTCTGTGTGACAAAACGATCGAGCAAAGGAATGGATTCTCTAACACAGCTTCCTACTTGTCTCGCTCAACAGCATTCTTCGCCGCTCGCCCCTTGCCCCCGCAATAAATCACTTCTTGGCTTTCCCCTTGGCCTTGCCCTTGCCCCCCTTGCCCTTGGCTCTCTTCTTGGGCTTGGCGACCACCCTGCCCTCCACCACCACATGCTCCACTTCGTGCTCGTCATCGTCGTCATCCTCATCGTCGCCCTCGTCGTCGCCATCGCCGCCCGCCGCATTCAGCTCGTCGTCATCGCCCACTGAGAAGACACACACACACACACACACGCCCGCACGCCCGCACGCACAGAGAGAGAGAGAGAGAGTGACATAGGCGTGGATTGGGGCTCGGGTGGGTGTCTTGTCTTTTCTCCTCCGCACCTCTGCCGAGTCTGTCTGCCGCACCGCTCGCCACCACCCGGTCAGCATCCAGCTGGCCCCCGAAAGAGGCCGTCTGGTTCGGCACGGTGCGCTCCAAGTTCATCGTCACCATCGACCGCAGCTGCGCATTCTCAGAACTGCACATGGTCGACAAAGCGACACCACCATTTGTCCCACACACCAACTTTGCTCTCTTCCATCTCACCGCAGTTTTGCAATCTCGTGCAGCAAGGCCTGGTCAGCCTCCGGACGTGTGAGAGAGCGCGTGTAGGTGGGGTGGTGCACGGGGAGCGGCTGGACGGGGCTGGTGGGAGGGGCGGGAGGTACGTGCGGGTGGAGGGGCGAGTAGGGAACCGACCCTGGCATATATGGCTGCCGCTGCCACTGCACACACACACAAGCACATTCACAAGCACCACAGGCCAACGAGCAACAACTTGAAACCACCCTTTCTGTTCTTCTTGTCTCCTCCCCCCTCGCCCCTCTCCCCCACCCCACTGACCACATTGGGGCTGTTTGGAGGAGCCGGCACTGCGGGGCTCACAGGCCCCATCGTCCCGTACCAGGTCACCTCACGCGGCGGCAGCAGCAGCCCCTGTGGACGCGGGGGAGGGGCCACAATCAACGGCTCCTTCATCACCATCCCATGGTGGCTCCCAACCGGTGTGGGCGGGGCTGAGGGTCCCAGCATCACGCTGCTGTAGGCTCTTCTGTCCATTTGGCTGGTGGAGGCACCGCCGAGAGGCGTCAGCAGCTCCGCGGGGCGGGGGGGCTGCGGCACCGTTGTGTTGAGGGGAATCATATTGGAGGGCGTATAAACGAAGCTGGTCTGAGGGAGGTAGTGGGGGTAGTGCCCGAAGGCCTGGGGCTCACGCTTCGGACCAAACTGATGGTGAAACGCCATGGGAAATCGGTTGATACCAAACACTGAGAGGGAACCGAAGGGACGAAATGGGGGCGGGGGCGGGGGGCGGGGATCCGATCGTACTGAGAGTGTCCATGCGTTGTCAGATGCAGCCACACACGAACAGACTCTGTGCTTCCATCGTGAGCACAGAGAACAGAAAGAGACATGTGTGTGGGAGTGCGTCGATGTCTGTCTGTGTGTGTGTGTTGTGTGCCTGTCGAGTGGTCCGCTGCTGTCGAACGAGTATTTGGCAACGCGTCCGTATTGGCGCGCCTCGGACAACAGCACACCAGCACCCGAAGAATGACAGACGGAGCCGTTGATGGCGACGTCACACACACTTGAGA